CCTATCTATCTGTCTGTTTGTTTGCCTCTTTGTCTGTCTGCCTGTCTGCCTGTCTGTCTGTCTGTCTGTCTGTCTATATGTCTGTCTGTCTGTCTATCTATCTATCTATCTATCTATCTATCTATCTATCTATCTATCTATCTATCTTATCCTGCTCTTAAACAATTTAATATTGTTGATCATTAAATATAATATACCCTCACTCTTATTTACATAAAGAGTACAGAAATGCATTAATAAATTTCATTCATGTATGTGTTTAAATCTTAATTCCTTTTTAAGGGCTGGTGGGGCACCTGAAGGCTGTCTCGGTTATTACAAACCCTAGAGAGCTCATATTTGCAATGGGGCATCATGTGTCATTTGGGGATTTTAAATCTATTGTACAAAATATAAATCTGGTTCGGTTGCCATGGAAACGGCGACCATATTGGGTTTTGTATATCTATTTTGATTCCGTTTTATTCACTTGTTTATCAACTAATGCACTTGTAACTTGGCATGTCGGTAGAAAAAGTATAGATCTAAAAAGTGGCTTGAAGATTTTTTATATTATATGCTTTAGTTTTTATTTTATGGCACTTAAAAATCGGCTTATTGGATAACTGTGAACAGAACAAAATAAAATAAAATAAAAACAGGAAAAAGGTCAAGCTTTCTTAATAAAACTGAAGCATAATGCGGTGCAAAACATGCTTTTTGAGACAAAAAGTGGAAATTATTTACTTTCCAAAAAATCCCTACCCCCTGCTCTAAAATCCCTTCAAACACCCCTTTAGGGTACAGAAACGCTTTGATACGTTTTCGGACCTTGTTCTGGAAATATCCAGGAAATAAAATAAGTGATAATCCCAGTTTTCATAATTTCACCCAAAAACACAATTTATAGGTGCCCCACCAGCCCTTAAGGATAAGCGGGCTAACCCAGATTTCGGGGGTTTCCAGAAATCTTGACCTACACCAAAAGTGGGCATTGCCCTACCTATAGGAGACGTTTGGTGTCATTGATGTGTATATTTGTTTGGTTATAGAGAAAAGTCTCCTTGTCTTTTAAAGAAACTGAACAAGTGGCAAAAACTTTATCTTCGATTTCCTCAAAACAGCATTTTTCGCGATAGCCCCCTTGTGTTTAAAAGCGACCAATTAAAGGTCTTTGATCTTCAACAAACCGTTTGTCCGCCCAAGGACTTGACTTTGTGCAGCTCATGTCATGTCAATCCCGATATCTTTTGTTGACGCTACAAACTTCTCCCTGCTCCCATCTGTTTCCAGAGACCTTTTCGACATGATTGAGAAGTTTGCACACATTTATGTGCATGCTTTTGTAGAGAGTACTCGAGTGAGTAGATACTGTAAAGCAGCTTAGGGTCGATAATCATTTACAATCTCGTTTTTTGTGCTAACTGATACAATGGATATGTCTCTTTGTCTGTCAGTATGTTTGTCTGACTGTTTATCTGCCTGTCTGTCTGTCTGTCTGTTTGTCTGTCTGTAATCCTTTCCCTTCTTTCTTTCTCTTATTCTCTTTCTCTCTCGCCCCTCGTCTCTCTCTCTCTCTCTCTTTTCTCTCTCTCCCCTCCTCTCTCCCCCCTCTTTCTCTCTCTCTCTCCCCTTCTCTCTCTCTCTCTCTCTCTCTCTCTCTCTCTCTCTTTCTCTCTCCCCCTCTCTCTCTGTCTCTCTGTGTCTCTCCTCATGTAACCCTCCTCCTTATTATAATATGTTTGATTTATCTCATGATGCAATCTACAACAAAGATATCATAATTCATCCATTGATCCCATCAACAAATAGAGTCGTTTCATTTTTAGAACCCCGACAAAGGCTTACAATAAAACAATATTAGTATTAGACAGGGGCGAAGGCTGACTTGTCTGACAGGGTAATCAGAGTGATGCAAAGAAATTGCTGGGGATAAGCCCACCCAAAATTTCCCTCACTTTTTGTCCAGTTTCATACGCCTGTGTCACATGCAGAGTAAAATAAGTTTTCAAAGTAAATACAGGTAGGTCTAGAAATCTCTGCAAAACAAAAACAGAATAAAAAAAAAAATTAAAGGGGAAAATGCCCAACCGAACTAAATGGAAGGCAGAACGAGTTGAAAAATATCAACCCCAACGAAGCAGCTTATACAGCATGCATGAATAACATAAAAAGCACTGGCTGTCAACAGGGCGACTTACCTTTTACTGTTTGTACAGTAGATTTATTCGCCTTTCCTTTTTCGCTGCAAACCTATCAATGATATTAGATACTTCCAGCGTTTTCACAACAGTGCTCTCAACTGACAAAACCATCATATGCTTCAGTCGGTCTTGGCCCATCGCTGAGCGAGTGTAGTCTTTTACACGTCGGAGAACGCTAAAGGTACGCTCGCAATCAACACTTGTCAAAGACACAGTCACAGCAAGTGACAGCACTGTCGCCACCATTGGCATAGTTGTTAGCAGGTCCAGCGAGTGCATCACAAGCAAAAGGGACGCAGCGTCAGTTGCATCACTCAGCGCCGATCTGACGGCAGTGTCATTGTACAGAACCTGCAGCTGACTACACAGTGCCTCTTTATCCTTGACTACGGAGAGGTACATGTCATACAAGCTTTGCAAAATATTGTCCACTGCAGACAAATTTCGTTCAAGCGATCGAAATTCCCTGGGTGAATCAGTTGCACCCACTGATATTTGGCAATGTCCGAGAAGCGGGTTTCCAGCTCCTTTTGGAGTGTGTCTATGATTTCATATAGAATTGACTTTAAACATGTTGTTTGATCACATTCGTCCTCCCCACTCGCTGTGTAGCCACTGTCTAGCGTATGACGCATGCAAGGGGTCCGAGAGCGCACAGGATGTGAAGCTTGCAGTTTCTCTGACTCGGCTATCAGATTATGGAAACTATCATCACAGCGCATGCCAGACAAACATGTGGCGTAGTCTTTTATTTTCAGTTCAACTAAAACAGGATCAATGTTCTTCCGTTGAAGCATCATTGCCATCGGATCAGAAAGGCTGAAGATTCTTTTAAATGTTTTGAGCAGAAAAATGAATTTCTGACGCTGCATGCACACAAGATGACCTTTGGCTTCAGCCCTGGTGATTTGTCAACACCATTAAAACGTCAGCGTAGTTAACTTCCAAAGCAGCTATTGATTTACCCCTGGAAAGCCAACGAGTTGGGCAAGCACCAGGGAGCACACACTTTAATAGCGATGCTCTTTTTGGAGAAGATTTTAAAAAGTTACACAAATTCTGTACCTCTCCCAAAAATTTGCTGACATCACCGATTGCATCACAGGCTTTTCTGACAACGAGAGCCCATTTGTGTGCATAACAATGGGAGAAATGTGCACTTGACCACACATCTTGGATGTGCTTCCTGACAGAATTCTTGTAACCAGACATGTTAGCCGCCCCATCGTATGACTGACCGACAATAAGAGTGTTAACAGTAATACCAGCATTTTTCAAACTCTTTAGTATCACCGATGACAGGCCTTTGGCCGTTCTATCTTCCGATACGTCAACAACGTCTATCAGATGTTCATAAACTTGGCC